ACTGACATATGTTCTTACCTTACCTTAGACTAGTTAATATGTACCTGTCTGGTCTTAGTCCGTGCGCTCTGTCATGCAAACGGAGCAAAAACGGGAGCACAAACGCAGCCTCCTCTGTACCCAAAAGGTAGCTCCCGCTAGAAGCTACCAAACTCTTCCAAGTGTTCCCTATTAAATGTATATAGTTACGTGACGTGTTACACTGCAAAGTATAGTAACACAGAAATGTAACTGTCGATTTTCTCAGCGGATAAAACGGGTACTATATTGTGAGGCGTAGTAATCTGAGGAGCGCTACGTCCGCGCACTAACTTCTCTCCGGAGACTTCTCTCTCGCTCACTTCCGTCAATAGAAGCAGCGTGACTTGTAGTACGGAGAGAAGTTAGTGCGCGGACGTAGCGCTCCTCAGATTACTACGCCTCACAATATAGTACCCGTTTTATCCGCTGAGAAAATCGACAGTTACATTTCTGTGTTACTATACTTTGCAGTGTAACACGTCACGTAACTATATACATTTAATAGGGAACACTTGGAAGAGTTTGGTAGCTTCTAGCGGGAGCTACCTTTTGGGTACTATACAGTATACAGAGGAGGCTGCGTTTGTGCTCCCGTTTTTGCTCCGTTTGCATGAGAGAGCGCACGGACTAAGACCAGACAGGTACATATTAACTAGTCTAAGGTAAGGTAAGAACATATGTCAGTATGTAAAAACGGTGAACTATTCCTTTAATGCAGGCCAGGCAGTGAGACTTCCCAGGGACTTTTCCAGTCTGTATGAAAGGCGTCATGGTCTTCTCCACAGCCTTCACCTCAGATGCAGACCATGGCTTTCTCTGACGTTCTAGGGAGAGAAATAAAAATATATTAGCAATATACACTCCCAGGGTTAGGACCAAGCAGCCTGGCTGTAATCCCCCACCTGGTACACTTACCAGAAGGGGCACTGCCACTACCATGGGGTGCATCTGGATGAATGGTTGAAGGTTCTCCGCTTGAAGTTTCTTTTAGCCCGTCCGTTTGTGAGAGGATCTCTACTGCTCTCCCTGTCGCACAGAAAATAAAAATACAAGTGGCCTTTAGGGGAAAAAAATTATACATATTTTAATAATATCAAGAATTACCTTCAGGCTCAATATGTATCTGGTCGAGGCTCTTTCCTTTGAATTCCGTCACTCTTCCCTGCTCCATGGCCATCAACACTTTGCTGATTTTGGCCATCTCCAGTGTCCCCTCTGGTAGTCTGTAATATTGTCTGTGGATGCGAATGTCATGGCCAAGGAAGTTGGCTAGTATGTCCATTTCATTCTCTTTCATATTAAGAACTGTAGACATAGTAGCTATGTGCTTTCTAAGTTTGGTTGAGGATAGCATCTCTGGATGCACCGCACCACATTCTTTGGCTACCTGCAGTAGGGAGTCTGATCCCCTGATGTGGGTGTCTGCGCCCGGGCGGGAGAAGAAGTATGGGTTATGGTCAGAGATGGAACAGGCCCTTCTGTTCTCCACCAGCACCTCCATCGAAGCAATCATTTCAGGAGTCAAAAGAACCGGCACTTTCCGACTTCTTTTCCCTTTAATTTCAACGCGTTGAAAATGCTGACACAGCTTTTTCTCAAGTTCGGACAGTCCCAGAGCAATGTCAGAATGGATCCCAGTCTTACTTCTTAAGGTAAACGCTGTCAGTGGCATCTTTGAAACCTCACCTTCCCTTCTTCGATTGAAAATAATGACCTCACAAAGAGTCAAAACTGCCAGTTTAGACCAATGCTAAGACGTTGACTCACTTATTAGGGTTTGCACATATTCAGCTCGACATACCTCAATATGTGCATGCATGGCTCTAACGTCCTCAGTCAGAGGGAGCAGGTCCGGAGTGTTCCACTTGGCTTGCCGGAGGGTCTGTAGGGCAGCAGAAGAAACACAGACGTCCCACCTCTTCTCAAAAAGCAGCCGGCTTCGTTGGAGGTTTTTAATAAATAGTTCATCAACACAATGCTCCATTTTTGAGTCACATTCAAGAATATCTGCTTTCTGAGGCTATGGCCGAGTTTGAGGGCCAAGGATGGAGTCTTGTATTGATTTGTTTCCTCATCATATCCAGCCACAGACCTGACTGCATCAATCACATGGTTAAAGTTGGAAGGAATAAAGAAATCCTTAATTGTTTTCAGTTTCCCTGCGGTTTTTGCTTCGTTAATTAACCTACCGACTTCTCTCATTTTCTGCCTAATGTAATCATGCTTAGTCTTATCATGCCCGTGTTTTAAGTACAGGTGCTCTCCGAGTCTCAGAATCCCCTTTTCTGCTTTGACAACACCCGTGACCTCATCCTGATGCATTGCCGAAATTAAAGACCACAGCTTTTTGCTGATGCCCTCCGGTACAGGCTGGGCTAGGGAGCAGAGGGACTGGACCCTACTTCTACCTGGTTTAGCCTGTGCATCTTTCTGTGAAAGCCGGCACCTGGCCACATGCCTCCACAGCGACTTTCGCTTAAGCAATGCCCCACAGTCTATACAGTGCAAAAACTCACTGGATTTAACTGGGGAATTTGGCTGTTTAGCTGGGACTAAAGTTCCAATGCCGGCCTTTAAAACCTCAAAATTGTGCTCACGGTTTCCACTATTCCTGATCAAATCAAACTGAAGTTTACGTGCTTTAGATTTCACAGGTAGAGCCAATGCTCTGGCTACGTCACTTTCATTTCCATGTTTTCTAGTCAAATGACGGGACATTTTGTGGCAGGACATTGAACAGTAGAGGCAGAAATGCCTCTTGCTGTAAACTCTCCCCCCATTTTTCTTCTTTTGCAGCTGCATGATAACAATCTTATTTGCCTTTGGTTCGTCACTTTCCGAGTCTTGAAGAAAAGGGTTTTTGATTTTTCTTTTTCCATACTTTTTTACAGGTTTCTTCTTGACAGTTAAATCGTCAGAATCTGAGTCGACTTAATCAATTAGGGACTCTTGACTAAGCTGCACAAACAACAAATAATTTGTAATAATTCTATATAACAATTTGAAGTCATGACTTGTAGTCAGCACTTACCAGTGGTTTGTAAGCGTGCGCTTCAGTGTGCTGCTCTGTGATTGGCTGCAGCCTAATGAACCACACACTTGCACCTTTTCTAGCCTGACACCTGATTTCCTCTGTTGTGCTGCTCCATGATTGGCTCCAGCCTCTGTTGTGCTGCTCTGTGATTGGCTCCAGCCTCTGTTGTGCTGCTCCATGATTGGCTCCAGCCTGCTGGACTGAAATTGCCCCAGTGTGCCCCTCCTTGATATCCCGCAACCCACCACCAGGGTTTCCGACACATAACACACTTTTTTCAGGAAAGTAAACCTCCAGGGGTCCTTTCCATATTTTTACAGAGACTGCATAAGGACCGTTAGAAAAGCATTACCCATTGATTATTAAGCTTGGACCAGTGGGGTCCGGTGTTCGGGCCCCACCACGTAAAACCAGTCCCCATGACGTGAGTGGAATCTCAGGTTATGGAACCCACCAGGAGTTGAAAACAAGTGCACACACACACACACACACACACACACACACACACACACACACACACACACACACACACACAATTACACTCACTCTCACACAATGCAGGCAATCAAATAGAAAAAAGGATCAAAGGAAACAGAAATAGGATGCCTAAGGCACTGACTTATTCATATTTTATTGCTGCTTTCTTAGAGTTAAGACTAAAGCAGTGGGGGAAAAAATATAAATAAAAGAAACACCAAAAATGTAACACATTTGAATTAACTAGACTAGTGTGACCCAGTAGTGTTGCACAAAAAAAACCAAACAACTTATAACGTCTTTTCGACCCATTTTGCGACAGTTCACCACCGTGGAGGCTTTTTACGTGCGTTACTTTACGGCAAACACAAACTTGCTACGCTCGCTTTCACGGCCAGCCAATACATCGTCCCCAAGAACAAGAAAAATGAGAGAGAAAAAGCAAACAAAAAAGACAACATGGCGTAGCTTGGACTTTAAGTTAAACAACGGTCCTCGGCTGGTACGTGCTCGCCTTGTGCTTACTTACGTCCCCTCCGGGAGGTCGCGATAGAACTTCTCAGCCTCTTTGGGACAGTGGAAAAGTTGCGGTTTCCCTTCCGCGATTACCCTCAGCATGCTGGGATACTGCAAAGAGTATTTTATATTAGCAGCACGGAGCTTTTTCTTTAACGGATCAAACTCTTTACGTTTTTTCACAAGACTAGGACTGAAATCCGGATAGATGTGGACCGTGGATTCCCCCATCTTCAGAGTCCCCTTCTCCCGGGACAGCCTCAAGATCTTCACCTTGTCCTGGAAGTTTAAGGATTTTACCAGGATTGGTCTTGGAGGTCCGCCAGACCTAGGCAACCGGACAAATGTAGGACTCCGATGCGCTCTCTCCACGACAGGCTCCGTGGGGAAACGTTCCTTCCCGAAGAGTGTGGTAATCAACTTTCCGATGAAAGCGATCATGTCTCCCCCTTCTTCCTTCTCCGGTACGTTGATAAAGCGTAGATTGGATCTCCTACTTCGGTTCTCGAGGTCCTCCACCTTGTCCTTCAGGTAAGAATTGTCTTTTTCCAGAGCGCACACCCGCTCCTCCAGGTTACCAATTGTGTCCTCATTTGCGCTCACTCGTTGATGCAACTCATTGATTTCGGCAGTAAGAGAGCCCAATGTCTGTTGAATGTCCATTAGGCCTGCTTGTACAGACCCAATTTGAAATTCCAGGTGGGCCTTTACCTCAGTTGTGACTTGTTCTTTTACTTGCTGCAACGCGTCCCAAATTGACTGGAGCGAGATCTCCGCCATGTCGCACTGCAAACCAAACTTAAAATAACGTCTCTAATACTGCTTCGATTGCAACCAAATGATCAGATATTAGGGGTAAAGGTTTGCTCAATCACTCATGCAAGTAGCTGGTGGTGTCCCAATAATCTATCAGCAATTCTTAATGAAATAGTCAGGCGCCTACATCAGGCGTTCACGCAACTGCGCCCATCTTGACAAACTCTTCACTCGACTTTGGAGAGTCGAGTGAAGAGATCTCCTCCTCTGAGAAAGCTAAACACACGCAACATGAGAAACAAATACATTTAGACATTTCCAGATCTGAAACTAAGACACATTAACACACCATAATGGAGCTTGACCACGAAGGGATAGTTGACGTCCGCCAGAATGTCCCGCTCCATCTTGGTCCTCACTCTGTCCCTCACTAGACACAAGAAAGTGAATCAGTCATGTTTAATTTCTTTGTAGTTTCATGACCAATCCAAATGAATTAGAATACTAGAATTTTAAGTGCTGGACTCCACCGGCCGCGTCTCTGTTCGGCTCGCTGTGGCTATGATCTATGCAAAGCACGGCACTATTGCGCTACTACATCGAGGACGTTGTGATGGATGAGGAAAAACTTATTGAAAGCAAATGGTAAAAAGGGGTGTAGAGAGAAAAGAACTCCAACATATCCAGGCTTTTTTCAAAGCGAGTAAATATTGACATTACATAAATACAAGACATAAATGCTAATTTCCCTTTGAGTTGAAGCAGATATTGAAAGACAAAGTATGGAGTTCCTGAAAAAAGCTGGATCAGTTCTGTGCACTATAAGATCATTAGTATATCACATGTTTAAAAAGCACAGCCCCCTGTGGCTGGAGGTCTAAATGCCATGTTTTGCAGGAGCACATGAGGACTATAGTGCGGCTGATATTCACCTGTGTTGATGGACAGAGCCACAGCTAAGGCCAGGGACAGCAGCAGCTTGAGTGCAGTCTTCATGTCTGCAGATGTCTTCAGGCGTCTGTCTTTCTCCTGTCTAATGCACCTGTACCTGTGACTGTTCTGATGGATGCTGCTCCTTCTGACTCCTTTTAAACTGGATGTGCTTTGGGAGGGCCCGTTGCTCTGACGATCATTCTGGTTTGGAGAACTCACCACGCCTTTTCACGTCACACAACAATAAACCTGTTTATTCTTATAACTCACTGGAACTGGTTTGACCATGACTGATATTCTAGCTAAATATGTGCTCCACTGCTTTGCCAGGATATGGTAAATAACATATAATTAGGTACATAAGAATAATAGTAATAATAATTTACCTGATTATGGAGGATTAGGTAAAAATCAAGTTCACGCCGTGACTGTGTAAACTGTACAGTAAATAAAATGATTTGTTTACAGAAAACTTGATTTATTTATTATTTCTTAATTCTTCACAGTCCATCCTATGCAGGTGTGTGTTAATAATTTGGGTGATACACCATAAAACACTCAAAACTTGCTTGGATCTCTGCTCCTTCCACTGTGAGCCATCACATTTTCTCCAAGTTGACATGATGCTAACACTTTTAGTCACAGACAGAAGCAGAAAACCCGCAGAGAAGCAAACACTGACTGTGTTAGACGCGTACCATACACTGGGAAAGGCTGTGCGTGCTGATTCCATGTTTTGGTTTCTCGCTCCTGTCAATCACTTCCTGGAGGCGGGCTGCTGGAGCTCGAACTAAGTGTGAAAGTGTGCTACGTAACAAAGTGAATCAGGATGTTGTTGAGCCTCTCGAATGAACGAGAAAGATCGCTCTCTCTCTAAAGCTTCAGGGACTCTTTAAAAAATCTACTCTAGGCAGTGTATGAATGCCAAATTCAATCTGGAGAGACGAGGAAACAAGAATGCCTTTGAAGTATTTTATTGAGAGGTAGTTTGGCGCCCTAGGCCCCGGTGCGGCGTTCAGTCAGCGAGGCTCCTGCGAGAGTGCGCGCACAATCCCCAAAAGGCTGTGTGTTGATGGAGTTTTGCAGGCCTGGTTTGCAGGGGACAGACGTCGTGACCGCTATATACTGTGACCGCTATATACTGCTATCGCTATATACTGTGACCGCTATATACTGCTATCGCTATATACTGTGACCGCTATATACTCAGCACCACTATATACTCAGCACCGCTATATACTGTGACCGCTATATACTGTGACCGCTATATACTGTGACCGCTATATACTGTGACCGCTATATACTGTGACCGCTATTTATAGATGCTCAGCTGCTGCCGCCACCCGGAAGTTTGCGAGTGTTTTATGGAGATGCCAAGAGACGCTGGGCTGCCAGAATAGTCGAAGTGTCAGGCCTGATGTATGAGGAGAGGGCCGATGATGACCAGCGGCCCAGCTGCTGAGGGGCAGAATGGGGAGACCCAGGGAAGCGGCGCGCGTGGCAGCGCCTATCCGAAAAGAGTGAGCTGTGTAGAGATGAGGGGACAAGTTACGAAGCAGCAGTACGGACTTGAGTTGGGCTCTGAACCAGTTGGATGTCATGGGGAGGTTATCGGGAGTGAGGAATAGCGGTCCGTTGAGATCTCCTTTCCGAGAGCGGAGGCGAGTGTAATGCATCATGGATCTGTAGGGACAGGGAGAAGTGTCAGGACGAGCTATGACTATGTTGCAAGCGCCTTTGCGTTTGGAATGCTTGAGGTGGAGGTTGAAGTAGTCGGGATAATATGACAGGTCAGAGAAGGCAATGTCTCGGGATGCATTAAAGGTGGCGTGAGAGTTTGTGAATTCGCTTATGCGTAAGAGCCCATTTTCGTGTAGGATACAGCGGAGGAGAGAAGGTGAAGAGACGGAGGGACTAGGCCAGGGCGAGGGATTCCGTGCAGGGGATCTGGCATGGCGATGAATTGGCAGAAGGGCAAAGGCGTCGGAACTTCTGGAATTTAAAGCGAGAGAGAGAGTCAGCAAGACAGTTAAGGTGACCAGGGACGTGACGAGCAATGATGATAAAATTGTTCAGGACTGAGAGCCATGTGATGCGTCTAAGGAAGACATGATTTGGGGAGAGGATGAACGACCTCTGTTAATTATTTCGCACATCACAGAAATCCTTTTCCTTTTCCTATGCCACGTATGGCTCCGCAGCACGCAGGCTACGGTCACGGGATATATCTCGTGGAGCGCGGAGGAGATGCTTCGAAGGAAAGCGTCGGGCCGGGGCCCGGCGAACCGCTGGTCCTGGAAAAAACCCCCAAAACCCACGGACGGGGCTGCGTCCGTGAAGAACCGCAGGGCATCTGAGGACAGGATGACGTCACTGTAAAAAAAAGAAATATACATATACGCAATCCCAGCGGCTCAGCAGACGGGACCAGAACGCCAGGTCGGAGCGGCACCCCGCGTCCAGGCAGACAGCATCATAAGGGAGGAGACGGAGCCAGCGAGGGAGAGGAGTCTGGAAATAAAAGAACGACCTTGAGGAATGATACAGATGGCATAATTAAGATGCCCAAGGAGGGAGAGCAGCTGAAGCTTCGGAAGTGACGGGGAGGACCAGGCAGACCGGGAGAAAGCGCGGATGCGCTCGAGCTTGTCCAGCGGGAGGGAGGCCTCCGGGGCGCGTGTGTCGAGGCGGATGCCGAGAAACTCCAGAGCGGTGGCGGGGCCGGTGGTCTTCTCCTCGGAGAGAGGGACTCCGAGGGCAGAGAAGGCGAGCTTGAGCTTGCGGAGAGAGCCCCCGGAGCAGTCTGAGGGTGGGTTGACTACGAGGGAAACATCGGGGAGATGCAGGACAGAGGGGAGCCGCGCGTAATTGAGCAGAAACCGACACGGCGCCTCCGAGAGATTGTTGAACGAGAGGGACTACTCCGGCAGTCAAAGGTGAGGCGCACGGCGAAGAAGAACTCCGACGCCACTTGACCCCTGAACAGCGCCAGTGGTCGGGGTGGAGGGGCAGCAGCTCGAACGCGTCCGGGATGTCGGCCTTAGAGAGCCAGGAGCCAGGGCCGAAAGTCTTTATCAGCCTGATCGTGCGGACTGCAGGGAGAAGGGCGCTGGAGGGAAGGGGCTGTTGATGCTCGGGGCGGGCCCGGAGCGGGGGACAGGAGAGGACGAATATGAGACGCTTCTCCCTGGAGTGCTTGCGGGTGGTGATGCCCATCGGGTTAGAGCGAGACGGAGAGAAGGGGCCAATGACGTAGCCCACGGACACCTCCCGCGCCCGAGCCGCGTGACGACTTGGGGCTCACGGAGAGCCGGGAAGAGGTTGCGGGACACGAGACGCCGAGGGACCTAAACAGAGCTTGCAGTCCAATGTGAGGGATTTAAACACAGCTTGCAGTCCAAGTGAGGTATTAAAACTGAGAGCTTGAAGTCCACTGTGAGGGATTCAAACATTGCCTGCAGTCCTAAATGAGGGATTTTTTTTATGTTTTATTTTTTATTTTTTTTCCATATATAAGCAGATCCAGATATAAGCAGTACCATATATATGCAGTTCCGTATACTGTATGAGCAGTTCCGATATAAGCAGTACGGTATATGCAGTTCCGGATATAAGCAGTTCCATATATAAGCAGTTCCGATATAAGCAGTACGGTATATGCAGTTCCGGATATAAGCAGTTCCATATATAAGCAGTTCCATATAAGCAGGACGGTATATGCAGTTCCGGATATAAGCAGTTCCATATATAAGCAGTTCCGTATACTGTATGAGCAGTTCCGATATAAGCAGTACGGTATAAGCAGTTCCGATATAAGCAGTGCGGTATATGCAGTTCCGGATATAAGCAGTTCCATATATAAGCAGTTCCGATATAAGCAGTACGGTATATGCAGTTCCGGATATAAGCAGTTCCATATATAAGCAGTTCCAGATATAAGCAGTTCCATATATAAGCAGTTCCATATATAAGCAGTTCCATATATATGCAGTTCCGTATACTGTATGAGCAGTTCCGATATAAGCAGTACGGTATATGCAGTTCCGGATATAAGCAGTTCCATATAGAAGCAGATCCAGATATAAGCAGTTCCGTGAGGGATTAAACTGAGAGCTCGCAGTCCAATGTGAGGGATTCAATTTGAGAGCCGCAGTCCAAGAGGGATTTAAACAGAGCTTGTAGTCCAAAGAGAGGGATTTAAACAGAGCTTGTAGTCCAGAGAGGGATTTAAAGAGAGCCTGCAGGCCAAAGTGAGGGATTAAACTGAGATCTTGCAGTCCAATGTGAGGGATTAAACGGAGCTTGCAGTCAGAGTGAAGGATTTAAACCTAGAGCCGCAGTCCAAGAGGGATTTAAACGGAGCTTGGTTAAAGAGAGCCTGCAGACCAATGCGAGGGCTTTAAACTGGAGCTTGCCCACCAATGCACGGGGCCAACTGAGCCTGCAGTACAATGCGAGGGGAATAAACCGTCCGCAGATCTCATACTTACCCACAACGCCAGAAGACAAGGGACAACACAACGAGACCACGCCGTACCGGCACGAGGAGGCAGGGATGCGCACGGCTCCCACCGCACCGGGCCAGACCGGCCGTATGCAGCAGCAGGCCGCGACGAGACGAGCAGCGGCGAACCCGCAGAAGAGCCCGCAAAGGAGGAGAGCGGCAAGGACCCACGGACCACAGCACGAGACCCGCAGCAGGTGCAGCGACGCGGAGGAGGAGCAGACCACACGCAGCAAGACAGAGGACAGCAGGGACCGCAGGAGTAAGCGTGAGTAGACAAAAGCGATTCCTCCAGAACGATTCATGCAAGGCTTCGAGAAGCCCGTGAAGTGGGAGTTTCTCCGCTTTTAAGCGGCTGGCCTGGCCGGCACGGATTGATTGGAAGAGGGCGTTTGCTGTGCGATAGGCTGGGGATGCGAGGCCGGCCTGGAAGGGGTGGCTTTGGCTGACGTCTTCCAAATTGAATTTCCGCGAGCTGCATTTGTCCCAGTGATCCTTTTGCGGCTCTCTGATTGGTTTCTGCACGTTTGGCTGGCGGAAAAAGTGTTTTCTGTTTTAT